TTCTCTGTGCCTTGATAGAAGGGAGTTAATTGTTAAATAGGGAAAAAAATTGAAGTTTTTTTGTAATTTTGAAACTGTAAAGTGGTCTTTATTGCATGTTCACTCATCTGAGATAAAAATTGTGCAATTCTGCCTGTCACTTCAGTATTAACACATTGCTATATCCATTACACAGAATTTTTCAGCATATTTTCACCAAAGGAAGGCATATATTTCCTTGTATTTAAGATAATTAAGTAAATGATTCATTTAGGAAAAATATTTGGTGAAACTCTTCAGCATTAAGTTTTGCAATGTATATAAGTGAACACTCCTTTCAAGTACTCTTTGTAAAGACAGCCTAGAATAGGTAGAATAGAACATAAACAGAAATGCTCACTTGAAGACAAATGAAGCTAATGAAATTAAAGAGCTGTGACTCGTGAAAGGAGAGTAATTATGATGGCTTAAAAATGTGTTAATGCAGGTTAAAAGCACATTTCATTTGTAAATGTAAGATAATCTCATTAGTGCTGGGAGCACAGAAAGATCTATCACCTGCTTCCTAACAACATTCAGGATACACAGTTCTTTTCAGACCGAGTCAAGAAATACCCATCAGCAAAAATGTGGCAGGAACAAATAACAGACATATGCTTTTTAATGTGTTATTGTCTGCACTGTTGTCATTTGCCATTAGGTCTCTCAGTGAGCGTCCCTTTCAATGCACTTTTAGCACATGCATTATGCTAAGGATATTAATACATACTTAGTAAATATTGCTGTAAATCTGCATTAAGATCAAAGTGTTGTTCCTGACCTTTAAAACTCAGAAAACCTTGAGGAAGTTGGTCAGTCATATTTGCTAGAATAAAAGGAGGCTTTTTGGTATGGCCTACTACCTGCCCCGTAGCCTAACTACTCTGTAGCCTTGGCTTCATGTATTCAGTATTTTGTCTCTGAACATTTGTAGTTGAAAATGTTGGCATTGATGAGAGTAATCTCACCCTGTAAGACTGAATATTCTTTTTTCTTTTTTGTTGGTAACTGCCAACAATATATATGACACTGCTCTTAACAATCAGGAAATCTCTTAGCATTAGGAGATACAGTGCAAATACAAGCTGAGCACAGCTTGAGCTGCAAAGAGAAACTCTGTAAGGAACTTTTGAAGATGTTCTGATAAAAATGGAAATTTAAGTTCCAGTGCACCAAAAAGAAAATGATTTGGTTTCCTGTAGGATATGGTTCCGATATTGCCAATATACATTTAACTCTACATGATTTTTAAGGTTTTGTGTGCTTAGGTACGTCGATGTTTATCTTAAATAAAAAACTCCAGATGTTAATGTATATTAATTATGTTATCTTAATTTCATATAATGAAATAGTCATTTTATTCTGGGCTTCCACATTTTTTAATCTCCTGCTATTCTTTAAGATTTCTAAATCCTTATGTGAAAAAAAGAATAATAACAACATGTAAAAAACAAAAGACTGGACCTTTATGTGTGCAAAGCAGTAAGAGTTTTACTTGGCTAGAGGATGAGTGTGAAATCCTCCCTTTGTGAATATCATCGAGACATATACAGATCTGGTACTACCATTTGGCTCAGTAATGTAGAAAGATTGGCAAGGCTGGACCCTAAGTGGTGCCAATGATGAAAGTTTGGTTTTAATTATGTGATTTACTTTTTTTCCGCCTCCTCAGAACATACATGACATAAATTAAGTTCCTCATATGATCACTTAAAATTACCTAGGTTCAACTAGCATCACAGCTTCCCAGCAAGAGGTGGCATGCCTTTTCCCCACTATGAACCATCTAATTTGTCTTTTGGGACAAAGAAAGGGGATATGAAATAATTGTAACCTATACTCTAATAAGTTGAAAGAAATGTAAAAAACAAGAAAAAAGAAAGAAAGAATGAACCAATTTAAAGAGGTGACAAGCTGTAAGTCAAATTAAGCTACTTTTTTGGTTTGGCTGTCTCTCCTGGCCTGTTAGACCCCACTGTACAACAGTAAACAGGCCTGGATGGGTTTAAGAGAATCCGCTTGCCCGAAAGCCGATTCCTGCTTCACACTGTAAGTTCCCATTGCACACTGACAAACTCCTCTTCCTTACTGAGAACTATAAAGTCCGGAAATAGGAAGTTGGCATCGGGCTATTTTGCAGCCGATCTTGGTTTTTTTTAACCCATTGTTTTTCTGTAACTGTTTACTGTGTTATACATAACCGAGGCAGCAGAGGGAGCTCGAAGATTTTGGTCATCAGTGACAGACTTGGAGAACCAGAGAGGGAGAAAAAGAAAGAGACTGACAGTGCCAAGAACAATTAACAGTGAAGGACGTGGGTTGATGTACTCGGACTTCTTTAAAGCTAATGGATTATATGCATATCCCATTATTCAGCTAGTAGTTTTAAGTACCAGCAAGACTTCAAGGTACCACTGAGTGGCCAGGTTTTATTTTGCACTTGTTGCTTATTTAAGGTCTTTTGTTTACAGTTTGGAAAAAAGTATTTATCAAGAGTATAAAAGTCCTTTTTTGAGTCTAATACATTGTTCTAATAAGTCCTTCTCTGTGTAAAGATTTAGAATAAATCTTAAGACATAGGTACCTGAATTTTAAGGACTACAGTAAATAAAATTGGTAAAATAGTGACAATGGGTAAAATACCGAACCGCAGTGAATTGACTTTTGCTCAACAATGCAGAATTTCAGATTGTAAAATAATGCAAGATGTTCTTAATTGTAATTTTAAAATAGAAAGATTTTCATGTTTTTTGGAAGATGTTCATCTTCAGTGTTGGGGAGAAGTAAAGCTAATAAAATACACAAATGAAAGTCCTATCTACACAAAAACATTGGTTCTTCTGCAAAGGAAGACTTGAGTCTCTGAGAGGTCAACAGCTGCTGACCATAAGCAATTGAACTGTATCAGTGAATGCATTTTAAACAGAATACCAGCATCGTGAAGGCAGCATTTGTCCTAAGGTCAAGCTTGTGCTTAGTTGTCCAGTTTTTGAATGCATATAATTGATAGAATGAAAAACCCTGTGGTTCTAACCAGGTTTGGTATTTTCTATAACATACTACCTGGAACTGTTTGTTACAGATCAGGTTGCAGTCTATCTCGACTGTTTTAACCGGCTTTCAAAGCAACACAGAATAGAATGTAATTTCATTATAAGATAGAAGTATTGTACTAACTTACTAAGTTGTACTGAAAGGAAATGTTTATAATTGTAATTTTTTTGAGAGAAAATACACTTGAGATGTGAACTCAGGCATCCTCTTCCCGATTTCAGGAAAATTTTTTTAAGTGGTAGCAACTTCATTTTTCTAAATATCCTTTTTTATAGTGATCTAATTGCTGGATCTTTGCACTTTACTGACTCTGTGGTCTGTCTCCTGCTTTGCACCAGATTCACCCATACAGCCATTAAAAAGTAGCTGTGGAATACTATTCTAATCATGTGGGCATCGCTTAATCCTCTGGTCGAACCTGAATAAAACTCCTTGGATGCCATGTCAATCTGTTTGGGATTTGCAATCTGGCAAGGCGCCCAAATACAAATTAAAGTAATTTTCTACCTGAAAAAAATAATCTGCCTCTTTCAGTAGCATATACCACTATGTTCCAAGGCAGGTAAAGATCAGGCAGCTGTGAATACCACTTTGGAGGTAAGGGGCATAAGCATTTGACTTTATGAATTTGTGCTATTGATTTCCTAACTACAGGTCCTCGCGGCTACATAAAGGTCTCATTTTTGCTCTTACTGGTAATTCAGAAGGATGGCTTTTGCTTAGTATATTTTTAGTCTGTGTTCTGTCATTCCAAGTCTGTATCCTGACCTCTGAAATTGTTGGGATTTCAGAGTATTTACTATATTTGGATCTTACAAACTCCCACAGTTCTCCCTTCATCTCTCTATATTTTAACCCTCTCTGTCCCCAAATTACTATGTAACTGTTTTTAAAGTTGTTTATTTGCCTTTCTTCAAAATATGTGTATTTTTAGTCTGTGTTCTGTCATTCCAAGTCTGTATCCTGACCTCTGAAATTGTTGGGATTTCAGAGTATTTACTATATTTGGATCTTACAAACTCCCACAGTTCTCCCTTCATCTCTCTATATTTTAACCCTCTCTGTCCCCAAATTACTATGTAACTGTTTTTAAAGTTGTTTATTTGCCTTTCTTCAAAATATGTGAGGCACTTGTATGGAGAAAGAATGCCTATATCTCCTCTCTCACTAAATTTTAATTAGTAAATCTCTGGTCCAAGCTATTAGCATATATGTTTCACCTCTTAAATAAGATTATTGAAGGTTTTTTTTGTCATTTCACAGTTCAATGTCTAGTTTTACTATCTTTAGACTTTGACCTCTCTTTCCCCTTATTTCCTTAAAGTCTCCAGTCTTTTTGTACTCTATCTTCTGCCTTTCTTTAATAGACAATTGTAAGTGTAGGTACAAAAAGTGTGCAATCCGCTTATATTTACCGCACTCTTAGAATTCATAACGAAATTTTATATATCGGATCACCATTGTAGTTATTCTATTATGTCTGTGCAATAGCTCTATGGAACAAGGATTTTTTTAATAAAGTATAAATCCCCATATGCATTGTATATAATGAAATTATAAGATATTATTAACAAAGCAACTTAATGAATTGACATTTTTGAGGTTAGAAAGGTGGAACACTATAGAACTAATGCCTATCTAATTGAAAATAATGAGTTCATTACAACTGTCAAATAAAACTTACGGAGAAATAAAATAACCAACCCTTGGCTTTACTTTTACTTGTGTGTTTGATGGTATAACGATGGATTTTCTCTTAGAAAAAATCAGTTGCCAAATTAAATGTTCTCACTTTCTGTTCTCAGAAGTGGATTTCCTTCTTCATTTAGTTCCAGGTGAAGAGAAGCCCTAGCTAGCTTTTGAGCTCATTGAACATATTTAACTTGAACTTTAAACATTGTTTAAACATTGTTTAAACAACATCTTACCATGGTTGTCTCTGCAATGGATCCAAAGCTGTTTATAAATATGTTGCAAGTGACATTAACTGGAGGACCTGCAAAAGAAAAAACACACCAGTCCCTGTTCCAGAATCATTGCTTATTGAGTGACTGTAAAATATAAACCATTATGAAACAATGTTTATTGACTTAGGAGGAAATAATGCTACATTCAAAACTCATTTAATGCAAACTTAAATTGAATAATTTCTAATAATTTTCCTTTTGATTTTTCTCAAAGGTACACTACTTGACTGACCAGTTCTAGCAATAAAAAAAAGTTCATTATAAACTTGCACAGATGATTCTATGCAAAAAAAAATCAACATCCCATTTGAAATATATATTTCATATTTTTATGTGCATTTCAGTGAGCAATGTATGTCACTTCTTACAACAATTAGGGAAAAAAGTGACCCTTCTTACTCAAGGCAGCTGCTACTTTTAATATTATCTGTCATCACTGGTAACAGAAATACATTATTGCTGCTCTTATCTCTACTGCTTACAGGAACAAATGTGGATAAGAAAGAATGACAGATTATATTCTCATTTCTCTTAAATTCACAAAATGGTTAAGAATCCATTTAAACTGAATTTTCCATTACCATGGGTCTACAGTCAACTGTTGTTCTGTCTTACCTTGCATTTGTGAAGCACCAGTAGTGGCAGAGCAGTCGTCATGATAACTGAACAATGAATTGTCTCTTCATGGAAAAGGTTTTAAATTATTTCTCTGAAAGTCTTTCTAAAAATGGCATTGTGGTAGAACATGCTAACTTCTCCATTATTTCTTATCAATTTCAGTCTGTGTACAGCAGAAACAAGGTTTTTCCATCACAAGGTTTTTCTGTCACCCTCCTGCACCTTGATATTCTTATATCAATAATCCAGTTCAGCGTTGGAGAACCTGATTTCTTTTTGCAGGTGTAAGCAGTCACTAATAATGAAAGATCTATATCTGGAATTTGAGGACTAGTCTTACAAACCCTCATGTAATATTTCTTTTTTAGGGTCGCTGAAGTAAGAAGCTGCTCTGCCACTGCTGGTAGTTTGCAACTAGCAAAATCTAATGTGACCAATGAACTTGACATTAAATACTTGAAGAATCAGAACACCATTAAAAATTCTGCCAACAGGACACAATTTGGAACATCCAGCTTCCTTTCCTCAAGGCAATAATTGTTTTGAAGTACCGTATGGCAACTGCAACAAAACATCACTACGTGTACGTCAGTCATTGTAATACACAAGACTACACCTATGGAGCAGAATTCTCAGGTAAGGCGGTATCACTCTGCAGTCACTTTGACACTATTTTCACTTTGATATTTGGTTAATTATTTAGAGCTGTTGAGCATATCCAATACTTCTTAGAATCCAGTAAAAGCTTGGCATTGACAACTCCTGAAAAGGATCAAGGGAAAAAAAAACAAACCAGGGGAGATGAACAAAAGCAGAGTCACTAAAAACTGTCACAGAGAAAATTGTACTTCGTGGCTGTGTCAGATAATTTGTTTGCAAGGCAGCTTTCCTTTCAAACACTTTCATGCTGTAGCACTTGTCATCGTTTCAAACTTGGTGTGATACTATCTTGTTTAAAATAATACTATGCTTCAAGGTGTAAGTTTTCTGTATCAACAAACATTTTCTTTTATAAAGAAAAAACCCTAAATCACTACAACGTTGATGCTTAATTTCAAAAGCAGCATTACAAAAATCCAGTTAACAGCTAGTTAAAAAGAGCACAAAAGGAGAAGCTAAAAGCAGCTTGCAAATGGTTTAGACATTACTTAAAGATACTGTGCTGAAAGTAAAAATGAACTTCCCAAAATATGGTCAAAAAGAAGCATAAATGAAGCTGTTAAAACTGGAAGTCATATTCACACAGGAACTCAGGCAAGTTGAACATAAATTAAAGACGGGGGAAATATAGAGGTGAAACTCACTAGAGACAGAAAAGCTAACAATGATAACTATCTGCAAGGCGTTAAAAATAGAATCCTGCCAAGACCTGGAAGGTGAAGTCAAGAGAAGATGATTAAGATACAAAACTATCCATGAAAGTGAAGAAGGTCAGAGCAGAAAAACTAAATGAAGTCTTTGTAGCAGCATTTGTCTCCAGTTGCTAGCTGTGTCAAATACTGGAGCCATTCTGATGGAAGATTTGTATGAGGACTGTAGTAGACATTTCAGACTAAATGAACAGGAACAAACTGACAGGCTGAGGTGATATCAAGCCAGACGCTATAAAAATCTTTGCAAAATTGTGGAAATATGAATGACTGTGAGTCAGCTATCACCTGTATGAGTTTTTTTATCAGTGGAAATGTGTACCATGTCCAGCAAGTATAACTTGAATTAAAAAAGAAAAACAGACTCCAGGTATGATGGTGGATGACATTGACAATGAACTTTATCCCTGTAAACCGTACCTCTGTACCAGCCAAACTGGTAGAAATGATGAGAACTGTTATGATTAAGAGATATAGATTAATACTATTTTTGCTGAAATAACATCTCTCAGATCTACTGAAGCTCTCTGAAAGAGTTGATGAGCATGTGGACAAAGGTAATCTAATTAACTTAAATAAATATTTACTTTAGCTGTAATATATAATTAATTTAATTAAAATAGTTTATTTGGAGTTTCAAAAACTTTTCAACATATCTTTTGTCAAAGGCTTTTTAAGGATATTAGTCTTGATGAAGTGAGAGACAGTCCTCTTATAGACCTTTTGCTTTAAGGTTATTTAATGTTCGGAATAAATAACCATTTTTCAACGTGCGAGGTGATTGCTGGTGAGTTCCCCCATGGATCTGCACTGAATCTTTGTAGTTTAATATTAATCACCTCGAAAAGAATATCTAGCAATGTAACTTTGCTTCTGGTATAAGATTATTTAGGGTGGTTGTATATAAAGCTGACTGCAAGGAGGTGCAGAAAAATCACAAAATACTGAGCTATCAAGCAATGAAATGTTTGACGAAATTCTGTATCAGTCAAATGCCAAATAATCCTTACTATGCATTCCTACTGATGGGCTCCAAATTAATGATTTCCATGTAGGAAAGAGAGGCTAGATTAATTATGGATGGTTCTCTGGAAGCATGCTCTGTAATCAATAAAGATAGGAGAATGCAAAGAAATACATTAAAAAAATGGACTACCATACAAGTAGATCATGAACTTCTGTCTTGAATCCTTCAAAATTTCTCCTCTGTCCGCCTCAAAAGGATATATTAGGGAGAAAAGAGATGTCAAGACGGTAAACAAGGATCACAAATTCTATGAAATGCTGCCACACAAAAACAGCTTAAGTAGAACAGAACTCTTCACATTGGAAAAGGGATGCGGTAGGGAGCGCTATGTAAGCATACAATTCTGTAAAGATCAAAAGGAATTAATCCTTTTCCTCCATTTCTCAATATGTCATATGGCAATAAAATCAGTAAAATAGTCATCAAATTCAAAGCAAACAAAAAATGATACTTTTCACTATTCCAAAACATGAAGATTTTATTGCCATAAAATATTGGAAAGGCCAAAAGTATAAGCAACTTCCAGAAGTGATCAGAAGAACATATTTATGTAAATTAATTTTTCAGTTAAGTTCTGGCTTAAGAAGTTCCTAAACTAATGATTGCCGATTATTGTTTGGTGATACTAGGGAAAAGAACACTTTACACTTTCCTATGAAAATCCCCAAATTTCCACCTTAATCGATTGTTATCAAAGGTTACAATCTGGACTGTATAGATTTAAGAATATAACACCTCTTCTGTATCAGGTTAATTCTGAGCATCTTGAGGCCGTGACAATTTTTACATATAGATTACGTAATTGTGTCCAAATTTGAAAGACAGTGAAGTATTTCCCATATTTGCAGGAATAGATATAGTCTGGGATGTGGAACAGCTGAGTAAGAGAAGCACCTTGCTATGGGTTTGATGTACTGGAAATAAAAATATTTTGCAACTGGAACAAAGATTTTCCAAGAGTTCTTAATTTTCTGTTTTATTCCATAGCTTAATAAATACCAATAATCTTCTCTATTACTTCTGTTGAACAAGACCAGATATGCAGAATTCCTTATCCAAAAGCAGAGCACTCAGACAAAATATATAATAATGTGTTATTGACAAAGATTAATTATGACTAAAAGATGGTAGTTAAAAATCTTGTCTACATAGGAATTTTATTGGAAGAACAAATGATTTAAAATGATTGTCTGAGTTCTCTTATTAGTCCTTGTTCTATTTCTTTAAAACTGTTGCCAGATTAAAAACTCAATAAGGCATTAAGCCCCAGCGCTTGTTCTAGGACCCATAAAACTAACCAGAAAGTGGCAAAGTCATTTAAGGAGATACTTATTCTTAATGATAGAGCTGAATTATTCTGGGCAGATTTGTTCAAACTGCATAGCTGTCTAGAATATTTAGAATGTGCATTTTTTGAAAAAGAACAATGTCAAATTAGGTTTTGTCTCTTTAAATTTCAATAGTTACAAAACAAGGCTCTAAGTCTTTTGAGTTATTCTTTCAAGATGTACTGTATTGAATTCGCTAATCTCTAAACCATCTGCCTATTCTTCACTGTAGCCCCATCAGAAGATTGTGATTGCATGGTGTCCATGACAAGCTCCAAAATCCAATCCCCGAATCAATTGCTAAGCTGTAAGCTCCTCATTTTTAAACACTTGTTTGTAGGACTTCAGGAGACTCAAAGAAGAAAGAAGAAAAACTGCAGTGCTTATATTTTGCCTGAGGTCTTTTGCCCAGCACAGCTTTACCTTAGGTTGAAACTGCAGTTTGCATGCTAAAGAGTATACTGTGGCAATGAGTCAAGATAATAAGGAGCAAAAATAATTTAAGAGCTACCGATTTTAGAAATACAGTGTTTTGCATTACCTTGCAAATATTGTTTGATACATTAACCCTCCAGGAAGCCAGGCATTGGAACATTCTTCAGAGTAGTTCTGGCAAGGAAAGTCCAAGGGACTTATTCTGTATGGTCATCAGGGATATTGATCACTGTTGTAAATCTTTCAGCAGTGTGTTTGAATTTCCAGTGCATGTTTATCATTTTCTGAGAAATACCGGTACTGCTAACTTATTAAAAGCAAAGACTTTCCAGCTGCAGTAAATTCTGGGTAATAAGTTTATATATACAGCACCAACTGTTTATGGCTTACTGGTGAGGAAGGCATTTGACAAACTACTTACTTGATCTTTATGAATCAGTCTGGGCAAATTCTGTCAAAAACAGCAAATGGCAATGGCTTTAGAGTCATAACCACTTAAGTTTCTGGGACTTGGACATGTCAAAAAATTATAAAATTTAGTGCTGAATAAGAACTAAGATGGAAAGGGAGTGACAGATGACTTAGAGGAGGAAGGCCTGTCTACTTGAAAGAAAAGTTTTGTAGTAAACATGGAGTAAAACCCGCCCTATAGTGAAATGTTAGAGCTAAGAGAATCTCTTGGACACAAGAAGATAGGCATAGGAGGAGGCAGCTAAGGCAAAGTAAGAATAATATAATTTTTAATCACAGTAGATTTATTCTTTAAAAAAAATTTATATTCTGGAGAATTTAAAGACTGATAACTTGATTTAAAGATTCAGAAAAAGAGTTAAATATAATTCCACTATATTATTGGACCTCTTTGCTTTCTAAAAAAAGAAGACTAAACTTCTAAACTTCCCCAATGGCAAAAGTTAGAAGGGGTGGTATTTGTCTGTATAATAGTTTGTATATTTGTATAATAATATAGTTTGTATAATCCTTCATTAAATACTCTACTTTAGCATGCTTGAGTCTGGATAATATGGTTTGTGCTAAGACCCTCGGAAGATGTAATCATTGCATTTGCAAATTTTGGACTTCCAATCTTCCTTGAATCTCCTTTGTCTTGTTTGAATCTCCTTTGTGATAAGTGCATAAAAGGCACACACCAAGAGACAATTCCAGGTGTTGAGAACCTGCAGTTTCAGTGGAGAACTGAGAACAGGGAAAGGAACAAGAGGAAAGATAGTCCCTTTTGCCATTTCAAAGCAGAACTGGGGCACAGGAGTGAGGAACCTAATGTCACAGGAGAATTTGGTGATAGATTCAGTAACTAAGATAAGCTCTCTTGAGTTTGACTCTGATGGTCATGTCATTAACACACTCTTCCTTTTAGTTAGGATCAGGCAGGTATGAGGGTTTGGCTTGTCTTTCACAGAACTTGCTTTCTGGACTGCTTCAGGCTATGGTAGTCCAAGGTGGGAATTTGAATCCATTAACAAGCATTTCAGAAACAAACAAACAAACAAACAAACAAAACCCCCTATTAGACAATTCAAATCTAGTGATAAGCTATATTTTCAAAAGGTCTGCATTTGGGCAGCTGTGAAAGTGACAGGAATAGAGCATATTGCTACTGAAATGAACTGTCATAGCAAAGAAAGGCAAAAGAAGGCACTTTTTTTTTCCCAGTGAGTGTACTTATTCATTTTCATATTTGTTCCAGAAACTGCATTTCTGTGAGAAGACATACTGAAATACTGAAAACCTGAAAGTTTAGGTTTGAAATTACCTTTGAAATTTGGTCTGATCCTTGCATCGTAGCCTGACATCCTACCCATTAGCTTATCCAGGAAATCAGATGGCGACATTGGCATGCTACGAGATCTTGCACTGTCTGTTTCCTTTGTGGCTACCAAGCTAACAGCAAGGAAAAACAAACAAACAAAAAAACCAGAACAAAACATTTTGTTAGAGATTTTGTTAGGGAAACTTTAATTTTACACAGTCAATCACTTAGTTAATTCTTGTATGAACAGGAAAATAGCAAAGCTAATATTGCCTTTCAAACTAGTTTATGCTTCAAAAATAGTTGTAGCAAAGAAATGGAAGCAGTAAGTTCTTTTTATATCGGTCATTTTATATGCAAATTTTATTTTCCTAAGCTGCATTGTTAGAGGTTGCTGTTACCTCTTCCTCAGGACTTCTGGAGATTAACACTGCCAGTCAACAGTAATCAATCCATTATCACAGTTAAATAATGTCATCTACACAAATAGCTGTGCATGTGCAATGTCATAATTTGGAGTCTACTCTAAGATTGGTCTGTTTAACTGGGTGTGGTGTAATAGAAGCCTAGATCAGGAAAAAAAAAAAAAAAAGTAGTAAGGATCTTTCATAGAATAGTACGACCACCACCAATTTTTGTCCAGCCAATATTTTATGTTGATATTTAAACATAATACAACATATCAAACAGTCTCTTGGCAAATGGTATTCTTTAACATTGTCTTAGAGGTTTGTTTTCTGTTAAAACAAAAGTGACTGCTGCAGTGGAAAAAAACCCCATAACTTACTGAAGGAACTATCTTAGGGCAAAATTTTCATCTCAGGGCCAGATGGCAAATGTCATCTCCTATAGCCTCCTCTCCATACGTATGCAGAACTCCCACTGACATTCTAAAGTGTGCTCTGCACATGCCAAGAGAGAAAAGTATCAGCACCACGATCAGCCATGTGGACCGGAAGAAAAGGTCTTTATTGCTGTGGAACTCTTATTCAAGTGCTGGCCAACACATTGAAAAAACAACATAGTCAGTAAATATATATATAAATAAAAGTTTGAGTAACATTGTGATACATAGTGCAAGTAAAACCATTTGTGGCTTATGGAGTCTCAAAAAAAATAAAGAGCTTTTCCTGTTTGTGCTGAAATCTAGTAAAAAATCTATTGCACAAGGATGTGAATCTCTTTTACTTACCCATTTCATTGTCTCCTATTAATGCCAAGTCACTCTTTTAACAGTGCTTAAATATGCCTTTCTTTAGAAATAAACACAGGGAATAATGTAAAACTCTTAGGAATTTTCTATCTCATAAAAAGCCTATGCTGAACTTTTCTTGTTAACAATGGATGGATTTTTTCCAAAATGGAAAAATTCCATACAGGTATGTGTGTATGCAGATGCCATGTTAAGTGCAGACTGGGAATGCCATTTTTTTCTCCCAAGACTGTGTTACTCAGGACATGAAAAGTTACAGTTTTATGGCAACTTCCATTTAGAAGGTCTACTAAAAAATCTGTCTTCAAATTTGAAATTTGGATTTAATATTTTAAATAAAAAATTATTTCATATTAAGTCTTGAGTGTTACAAATTTGAGGACACACAGAACATGAACATAGAAACCTCTAGAATGCTGCGGTTTACTCATATTTTAATTTAAACCGGCAATTAAGTCTTTTAATTGTAATATTAACTGAAATCAGAGGGTTAAAAATTAAGCCTTCTGCTTATTTGCTTGTCTAGTCTATATTCTATTCTATGTGTAATTTCATTTCCATATTTCTAGATTGTTCATAAATTTCTAAATTGTTGGATATTTCTAAATTGTTCTGAATACTTTGGTATCTCTTTCAGTATTATCCTTCAGTAAAAATGTTTCTTTAATCTTCTTCAGTAGCTAACCTAGTTCTTTATCTCTTCCCCGAGCTGGAAAATGTATTTCCCTTTCTGAGAAAGTAAGTACTTAACATATTCTTTTTCTAGTTCAATTTGAAATTATCCTATTGGCCTCTGACATTATTTTCATTATCAATCATTCTGAATGTATCTGATTCATCACATTATTGCAACTCATAGTAATTTATATTTCTGAAAACATCATACGTGGTTATAAAGCAAATAAAATATGAGTCTCTAATTACACTTTGCTGGATTTTATCTATTTGCAAGGCAGGAGAATCAAGATACTGTGTAAATACATATATATATATATAATAGTCTTGTATAAGAAAGTTACATTTCTATTCAATAGTGTATATGGAATTCCTATACTACACAATATATATATCCTATTTTTTATTCTGGATATAAATAAATTCTCCAGGACACAGATATAGAAAGGCCCGTTGTTAGCTTCAATATCAACCACTTTCTCTGAATGGAGGATTTGTTTGTTTGTCCTTTTTTCACTTCTCAAGCTTTTTCTAAACCTTTCTTGTACTTTTGGTTGTTGCTTTTAAAGGCTGCCATGGAATAGAGTACTTTGAAATTAAGGTAACTAATTTTGAATAGGAAAAACAGTAATTGCTGTGATTGGATTTTCTCAAAGTGGCATTTACCTTTTTATATGATGCTATCATTAATATTTGCTTTCATTAATTGATTAAAAGTCTCAGAATATCTTGAATAATTTTATTGCCTGCTTCTGAAAACAATATATTCAGCACAATTAATACATTAGGTATAAGCAAGTTTTATTTTAGAAATCAGCTGTAATTTGTAACTAAATATTTGTTCAAGGAATATTTTCTCTTTTTCTCAGCTTGGTGTGTTACTGAGCAAAAGCTGGTTGAGCACTGCAGAATTTTGCCCTTTCAGATTACCTTTAATTGAAAACATGTATTTCAAGAATACTGTTGGACAAATAATTCTATCTATCCAAGCTGACTTATGGAATACTCTTCTAGTTAAAAAAGACCAAGACTTGGTAATATAGTAAAACCTGAGTAAGGCAGTGGATTTTAGGAAGGCCTACCTGGAAAAGTATGAGTTTTCTGTTTACAAATTAACATAAAAATTCTTCATGGTAAGGAGTCTTCAGTTTTATTGTACATTGCCTCTGAAAAATAAGCCTCTGGCTAAGTGGTTAGAGAAAATTACTCTCCTTTCATAAAGTATGAATTTAGCTCCTTTTAGTGTTAATGCACATAGCTTCCTCCTTGATACACAACTATTTCATAATTCCAGGACTGGCTTTGCGCAACTCTAGAGGGAATTTACTCTGACCTGTTGCATTTTTTTAAAGAATTTGTGCATGCATTTTCTCACAGGCAGAATTATAAGAATTTAATATCAGCAAAACTTTTATCCTGTGGTGCATTCAAAAGTAAGCTACAATAGACTTGTGATTAGCATAAAGTCATTATGCAATTTTAAATTACCAAGAAGGAAAGCTGTACATTTTTGTTCACAGGTAGAGGCAGTGAAGGCTTCCCATTGCTGAAGTCTTTTATTGGAGAGAGATTGTAACCTCCCAGTCTTCTGGTCTATTCATATTTTACCAGGAGAAGTTACCAACAAGAATGGTAGCCCTGGTGGTGATTCTGTGTTGTTCTTGTGGGCTATTGGTAAATATTACTAACAATTATAAAGATTTAAACCATTTTCCAATTTCAGACTTAAAGCGGTACTTTATTTCACTTTCCTGAATGCTTTCTGAACATCTTTACTTCCTGAATGCATCCTGAACATCTTTACAATGTAAATTAAGCCTTGCCAAACAATTAAAAAGACATTTTTTAACTAAGATAGTGGACAAAAATCAAGAAAAAAATGGAAAATATTGTCAAACGATGTAGTCAAAAAATCATTTGTGACTGGCTGAATTTACACCATCAAAAGTTCGGGTAAGAATTTTTGTTCCAAATAAGCTGTTATACAAAACCAGGCATGAACAGAAAATTAGAATCACCAGGACTATAATTACTCCTGTCTTTGGTCTATTCTGTCTGTTAAATCAGTGCTCAACTAAAATCTGAGGAGAGATGAGCTTTGCGTCATGCCTTCAAGACTGTCAAGTTGGAGTTTCATGGACTGAGATAGGAAAACATCCTGAATCATAGGTCTGTGACAGTGCGTGACCTACCAAAAGTCATATTTGAGGCAGAAACTGTTAGGTCAAGCTGAAGACGCTTACAGTGGGATATAAATGTTAGAGAGTAAGAAGCAGCCCAGCACAGCCAAGATGCAGCTTCTCTAGATCAGCACCCACATCCTAAATTCTAGACAAAAAGCTACTGCAGGGAGTTGTAGTAAGAATGGTGTTCAGCACTGCCATCTATGATCTGGAAAGAAAACACAAAATCATTGATGGTTTAAAACTAAGAATTGCAAAAAAAAAATTGACAGAGGTATAAATATTGATGAAGGCAAGAAAATAACCCATTTCTTAAGTTCAGTCCATTTAAGTAGAACAGTTTAAAACAGACAGAGGAAGGATATTGAGAGAGATATGAATTGGGAATGTGGGCAGAGTTGGAGAAAGCAGTTGAGTCTGAAGAAGGATTCAGAATTCATGTTGAATGACTCAGCACTGTTGTGTTAAAGTTCTCACTGCACTGCTGTGTTATCCAGTGCTGTGGAAAGATTGAAAGAGTGAATAGAAGCATGAAGGTCATTTATTATTTTATATGATATTAATGAGACCAGTTCTGGGACATTGCATCAAAGTCCATGTCCAAGTCTTAAAAGGACATTAAAGCATTAGGAGAGGTACTGAACAAAGCCACTAAACCATGATCTGAGAGTTAGGGAAATTTTCTTAAAGTAAGAGACTTTAAGAGTTCAATCTGCTTAGTTTATCAAAAAGAAGATTGAAAAATAGCATGAAAGGAATGTATAAATACCTCAAAGGGGCAGAAATTGCCGGACATTTATCTAAAGAAGAAAGGCAGAAGAAAAATCAATGAGAGACAGACAAATTCAAATGGGAATTTAGGCACACAGTTTAATAATAAAGGTGACTTAACAGAAGATCAAACTGTACCAGCCAAGACAGTACAGCTTTCTGGAAGAAACAATTTAGCAAAATATAAGGTATTGTGTTTCATATATGGCTAGCTCAGTGAAAAGGAATGACCTATGATATATAGAAAAGTAGCTTAAATTCAGAATAGACATTACAAATCTCATGGAGA